TCCAACCTCTGCACGTGCCCCACCAAACGGGCGTCTCTGGCAGGTGAAGGCTTATCGATGACAGGCCTAAAAGGTTGCAGAAGAATTAAATTGGGGAGCTGGAGAGAAAAGGAGGGTCAGGGTTCAGGGTACAGGGTTGAGAGTTTAGCTGAATATTGCTTGGATGGTGGTGACTCACGAGTGTTTTCAGCCATTGCTCTGGGGAGGGAGATCACTATCCTGTCCTAGTTCCCTGGTAGGGGCCACAGACTCCCCTCCCCCACCATTTATGTGTTCCTCTAACTTCTGCTGACCAAGCAGGCGTCTCATGAGATGTGTATTGGCATTACTGGGGACACATGGGGACACAGGCCTTCCTAGAACCCGTGCTCCCTGAGAGGAGAAGGCAAATGATTAAGTTTGTCTGTGCATGTGGGTTCAAATGCACCATTCTTTTCTATGTACATTTACTAAGCTAAGTAGCAGCAGGGGCTGAGCAGGGACAAACATGTCCTTACCCCAACAGGAGTGGCAGGAGGGTCCATGGGAGTCCCCCTAGCCTGGCTGGTACCTTCAGAATTTGCTAGGCTGTCCAACCCTGCAATCCTGCCTCTAGAGTCCTGTCTGGGGCAGGAACGGATAGCGTGCGCTCCTGAGAACAACCTGAGCAGCCACTAGAACTGGGGAGACCTGGTGAGAGGCGGGCGCTTCGGGCAGGGATGTGCGATGGTCCGAGGAGGTTTCTGGACCGTTTGTACATTTCAGGGGCCGTCAGAATACTCCACTAGAACCGCAGGGAAGCCGTGCCACATCTGTTGTCCCTCAGCAGAGGACAGCTGCTTACCTGCCAGACACATCTGTGCCTCATATCCTGGGGAGTGATTTGCGGTACAGATGCGAGAGAGACTGGGAGAGGCAGCTTGGGTCTACCAACCTCAAAGGTCTCAGTGTAGCTAATTTTTGGCATGACAAGAAGCCGTGCATGACTTCTGCAGACATGGAGGAAGTGTGGAAGGTCAGAGGCTGGGATGAGACAGACCACCTGGGCGTTGCGGGGAAGGCAACTGCAGGAAGCTTGGAGAATCCTGGCCTCTTTCCACTCAGCATGGAGGGATCCAGGCCGGCTGGAGTCAGCAGCTCTCAAGGGACTGGGAAGGCTTGGCCGAGCTGAACTTTTTGGTGGAGGGCCTAGGGCCCAGTCGCTCTGGAGACAGCCAGAGGTTGCAGAGGCCATTGGGAGAAGGGGAAGGCTCCCTCTGCAGAATCCACTGTCCAGATCCAGTTCAGATAGGACAGACAGGAACTTACAAGACTAGGATGACCCTGAGCAGGGGGAGGAGCAGGCTCACAAATAAGCAGAAGCCCTGCTGTGGGCAGAGTGACTCGCTCTCCTCCCTCCAGGTGTAAGGAGGGAAGGTGGCAATGGTCAAGAATGGCCAGGTGTGGAGCTACCTGCCCTCTTCCTATTGGTTCCTAACGAAAGCCTATGCCTCTCTCTCTTTCATGTACATTGCTGTTTGGTCTGCCTGTATATCTGCACCACTTGTGTGCCTAGTGCCCACAGAGGCCAGGAGAGGGCATCAGATTCCCTGGGACTAGTACAGACAGTTGTGAGCTGTCTTTGTGGGTGCTGGGAATTGAACTTGGGTCCTCTAGAAAAGCATTGTGTGCTCTTAACTCCCGGGTCACGTGTCAAGCCTCCAAACTTGTTATTCTTGTGTCTGTCTACATATGAGAGCTGTGTGGTTCAGGAGGGTCAAATAACTTGCCGAGGGTCCTAAGACAACTCTCGGGCCACAGCATTTTGTCGCCATTGCCTCTCTAGGCTGTAGACATAGTTTCTCTGCTGGCCACTGCCGAGTGTTTCTTTAGGGATCATCCAGGTGTGGAACAGCAGCGTTAGCCTGCAGCCCTGCAGCTGCCTTCAGAGCCCTCTGGGAGAGACTGACTTGTCTTTACTAGTCGTGTGTGTGCGCGTGTGTGTGCGCGTGTGTTTGTGTGTGTGCACATGTGAGTGTGTTCCTATTCAAAGAACAGAATAATTTTTGTAATCAAAAGATAAAATTAATGATTAAAATGTTAAAATTCTCTGTGCATAAACCAAAGAATTGGTGCTAAGACTGACATTGGTCCTCCCAGGAGCTGGGCTGGGACTCCTGTCTGCTGGATGTGGGCTCCCTTCAGGGGAAAGTTAAGTTCACAGGACAACTGATCAAAATTAGCAAGTGACAAGTCGTGCTCACAGGAAGTACTCCAGTGCCACCTGATAAGAACTTGACTTCTCTCTATTTCTCTGTTTCTCTCTTTTTCTCCTGAAAACCCTAAACCCCAGGCTAGACCTAAGAAAAACATCGGCCTTGGGCTATAGAGCAAGATGGAGGTGGGAAAGAGAAAGAGGAGATGAGAGAAAAGGAGAGGAAAGGGGAGGGGAGGGGAAGAGAGGAGAGAAAAGAACAGGAGAGGGGAGGGGAGGAGAGGCGAGAAGGGAGGGGAGGGAAGGAGAGAGGAGAGGAGAGAGAAAAGGAAGAGGAGAGGGGAGGGGAAGGAGAGGGGAGGAAGAGGATTACTGGTATCAAATACTCAAAGCTGTCAGGATTGTCAGCAACAAGGACTGTCTTGTAGGACCCCAGATGGGATCCTGTGGCAGAGAAAAAGCTGGGTGAGACCACTAAGGGCGTGTGTGATCAGGTGTGGGCTTGAGTTAATCACGGTAAGGCTCACTCACTGCAGCAAACTCAGTGGCAACGGGGAAATCTGAGGTGTCTATGTACTTTGTCATAACTTTTTTTTTTTTTAAAATTGAGACAGGGTCTCTCTATGTAGCCCCATGTGACCTGGAACTCATTATGTAGACCAGGCTGGCCTCAAACTCCCAGATGTGCCTGCCTCTGCTGGCATTAGTCATGTGCCACCATGCTCAACCATAATGCAGAGCTTTTGTTATTTGTCTTAATCAAAAGATTTTTTAAAATAATGAAAACTTTGCCACTCCTGGCCAGCATGTAAGCCCTTTTCTAGAAAATGCTTGCTTTCTTATTGGGATGCTCCAGAAGGGACAGTTTGGGCTAGCACTCTGCAGTGGAACCCAGGCAGTCCTATGCCAGAGTGTCCTTAAAGCTGGAGTGTGCAGGATCATTGAGACGGTCAAATGTATGCATGTATACAGTAGGCACCTTGCGTATGCATGTGAGTGTACATAGGCACCTGTGTATGCATGTGTATGTACAGTAGGCATTATGTGTCTGCATGTGTGTATACAGTAGGCACTATGTGTCTGCATGTGTGTGTACAGTAGGCACTATG